CTTTCCATTATATGCTGATGAAGATTCTCAGTCATGCAGGTCATAGTCACTCCTTAAAAGTTTAAAAAACAATCCGCTGGACTTGGTTTTTTTAAGATTTGAAGACGTTTCGCTTCCTCTCCAGGAAGCTTTCTCAATTCAAATGTCTGGATCCACAGTGAGTTTGACTCTTTATATAGACAAGGCCTTGTATTGCTTGGAAACATGGAAATTGAAACAGACGAGTGGGTCGTTTGGTTCCATTGTTAGCCTGCAATATCTGACACCTGTCTATAATTCTGAAGGTCGGTCGTTAAAGGGGGGCGATTGTCGTTAAAGAGGAGGATTGTCGTCTATGATTGTTAAGGGTTGGTCCATTATATGTATATTTTTCTTGTTGGGTGTTCTCTACTTTAAGCCAATCTTTCTGCCCCTAGAAACTTTAAGGTTTTAATTTATGACAGGGTTTCCAAGTATATTGTAAAACAACAACAACAACTCTGTTTTACCAAGATGAGGGAATAGTTGTCTGCCCTGCTTGTATCTGTGATGAAAAGCAAGCTTTGAAATGACTGAAGGAAAAAGAGAACCCTCTGATGACAATGTAAGGATCAGATGGGTATGAAATATGGATGGATGAACATTCCTGTGTGAAACATTTACGGATGGTTTTATGCATCTGACTTTTTTCATGGGCCACAATTTTTAGATTTTCTGCATCACCAACTTTAAGTATGTAACCTTCACGCACTAATATGCGAGGCCCCTGGACAGCGGTGCTCAGACCGACCCCACTGGCATCAACAATCATGTTCAGTCACCTCAGTTCTTCTGTTCTTCATTCTGATGGTTGTTTTAAATACCAAAACGTTGTCTTCATCCCACTTAGGTGTAATACTGCCAGGTGATATAGCAGCCAAAGAGCATACTTTGCATTGACATAAATAATGAAACAAAATATATATATTCTACTGGAACACACTGAAAGAGTTAAATTCTATTGATAAAGAGATTTCAGGTCTGGCACTACATTAGGCAGTGACAGTAATTTTCCACATGGCTGCCTGAAATGACCTAGTATCTAAAGCCTATGTAAAAGTGATAAAAAAATAGATATATATTTGCTGTTTTCCATATCATGCTACCATTGACCTACTTCATACTGCAATAATCTGACAAAGGATAACTTTAAAGTGAACAACATTGTGTATAGTTGGGGCGAAACAAACTCTTTCTACTCCTTTTATATGGACAAAATATGTTCAAAAATGCAGAAAGGTGGCATTATTACCATGACTAGATCTGTGCCACCTCATTCTGGCACCAACACTGTTGTTTCAGCCCACATTTTAGTGAGCAAGAAACTGGATACTCATTCAACCCACACCTCGATGAGAAACAACCAGAGCAGAGGAAAATGATTCACATTAGTCAGATAAATATCCTTAAACTCTTCAGAAAAAAGGTCACATCGAGCCATCAGGAGGCCACTATTGCTCATTTCAAACCTCCCTTTGATTCTTCCTGTTGTCGTCTGATTACATCTGTCAGCTTTAGCTCTTTTTCTCAGCACCTTGTCTTCTTTCTCTATTTGCTTCTTCCTTTCCCATCTCTGTGTATCAGAGTCACTGAGGTGTAAGTTCACATGGCTGGCTATATAGGTCAGTGTATACAGAGTGAGAGTCCTTTCCCTGAACATGTGTGTTTGGGGGGTGCAGGAACACTACTGCCTTTTGTAACTCATATACTGACATCCAGAGAGCCACGGCTACATAAAAATCTACTTCCATACAACGCAGCTGGGGTCTTGTGAACAGGTGCGTGTGAGAAGCAGAAAAGTGGAAAATATCTCTTGTAGCAAATACAAAAATGTATAAATCCTGAAACACACAAAGGGACTTTGCTGTCACATCTAATAAAAACAGAGCAATGCAAGCTGTAAAAAAACATACAGCTTATTTTGTCCATTGCTTGTCCCTTATACCAACGCTCTGATTTTATAAGTAAATATTTGCCTTTATAGCTTCCATGAAAAAAAAAGAGTCATTTATCAAGATAAAAAAATATTTGCACTGTTTCAAATTTGTTTTTTTCTCTGACCTTTGCATGTTTTGTATTTAACAGATTTTAAGATCCGACAAATATAACCTGTTTAAATACAGAAGGTAAACCAAACTGTCCTTATGCAAAAGCTGTATTTTCCTCTTGTACCATCCTCGGTAGCATAAACTTTAAATGTGCCTTAGCTAAAAGCCTACTGTAAAATAAGGTCTAAAACTGGATTTTGGGGAAGAGAGCATCAATGAGGGTATTTCTTTTAGGTCATAAAGAAGCAAAGCTGCCCCAGACTATCACATTTCCACCCTATGCCATTCTCACTGTCTACTGATGATTGAAGACTTTATTAGATTTTATCCGAGGTGAGTGAGGCCTGCAGTGCTTTAAATATCACTCTGTGTACGTTTAAGAGCTCTTTGATAAGATGCTAATTAACACTTTTAGGCAGGACAGCCACCATCTGGTACATTCACAACTGCTACAGGTTGTCTCATGGATAATGGCTCTAATTTTGGTTTCCTGGACTTTTAGGGACTTAATGTTCCACATAAATATAAATATCAAAAAATGCTATCTTTATCTGATATTGACTGTCTTTAGATTGGATGATGCGTTGCTTTCCCATCAGGAATCATAAAGTCGGGAGAAAATCAAACATTTTTTAAATTCAGTCGGCCATCGTAAGGTGGTAGTGGGCAAATCGCTCAGTGCACATGCACATACAAGAATATTTTTTCTTCTTCATCTCAGACGAAAACACAGAAGCATTGCGGGATTGCGAATTAAATTGAGTTCTTCCTTTAAAATTGACAGACCATAGTAGCCATGTTTGCTCAGTCTTGTCTTTGTCCAAATACGTCGTCGCCTTTCTTTTTAGGGCTTTCAGCACACAAGATTTCACAAATTGCCAAGACAGCGCGTTTCTCCCTAGTGAGCTCCATTTTTTAACAGCAGGTATCAACAGTTTCATATTTTTCCTTCTCTACTCGTTTTGCTTCTGGATAGACGAAGTCACAGTAGCGCCATCTCACTGAGAAGCTGAATCTAACATGGATTTTAGACGTACAGTGTGAGCAAATACATTGTGAGCTGTGAACCTTTAAATCCTGCAGTTTCCTCGTACAGTGTGAGCTGTAGATGAGTGCAATGGTTGAAAAAAAATTGCGTATGCCCCGGCTTAAGTCTACCTCATGATGTCAGAAAGATTGTACTCAAAGAGATTCTTAATCCAACAGTAATCCATTTTAAGTACTGTATATCTAAAGAATAACACAAATTCTCCTAAAGAGTAGATTTATAATGAAATTAATTGATTATTAAAGAGTGCATTTATTAATGGTAACCTGATCCTACTACAGACGTATTGTCAAGCTTCATGATATATAGAGCTTAAAGGAAAGAGACCAGGAGGCCTCAATAAACAGAGCTGTTCGGTTAGGTTGACAAACAGAGGAATAGATATTAGTGTTTTTTCATTGCGATGCTGTTAAAATAGACTGTTTGCGGAAGATTACTTGGAGCTTGATCATTCTACAGGGGCAAGAAAACTTTGTATCAATTTGACTGTATGATCTGGTTGAACTGTAAAGTGCCTTGAGATGACATATGTTGTGAATTTGGCGCTATATAAATAAACTGAATTGAAAATTGAATTGAAATTTCCTTTTGCAGATAAAATAGCAAGTTTTGAATGGCTTATAATAAAATGTTTGATGCAAAACATGAAAGAAATCCTTCAGGAAAAGGATGAATTGCCCAAGCACTGCGGTCCATGCAAATATGAATCATTCAGAATGAAAATCTAAAGATATGCTATTATATCCATTTGGAGGTGTGTAGGTACTGGTTGAAGATGCTCTGTTTAGTTGTAAGACTTAAGAGTTTGGGACAGGAAAAAACTTTATAGATTAACAAGTTTACAGTTACCAAAGCAGGCTATTCCATAGCCAGTAAAAGGTTTGCTCTTTATTCTCTGCATGCATGCAGATATATATTTGTGATGTAGAACTTTGTGCTGCTTTCAAAGTACCATCAATATGACCCCATCCTAGCCTTTTGGGATGATAAATGAGCACTCTAGTTTTTTGAAGCCCTGGAAAGCTTCATTGCTCTGACGGCCTGCTGTGTTATCCCAGCTGATGCATTAGCATCAGTCTGGGGACAAGCACTCATAGCTGAAATTAGCCTCCCACTATGAAAGAAAAAGTTTGAGAGAGAATCAATAATCCCAACTAAAAATAAATGTGTTAGAAATGTTACTAAGCTTCAAAAAATCTAATGCAAACCTTTTATGCAGCCTTAGTAAATGTAAACATTAATGATAAACATATAATATGCATATTGTTTTAATGCTACTAATTTTGTTGTGCATTATTTTAATGTATTGTATTCAAATAAATCATCCAACTTCAAAACATATATATTAGTAAGTCTGTTTCATTTTGTCACCAATGATCAGTTTTTTATTCATGTAAGGGGTTTTAACCAAAAGAAACCCTCAATGTGACAATCTGCTGATATTTAAAGTCAGCAGACTTTAAATGTCAGCAAAAATTATTATTTTTTTTGCATAAAGTCAGACTGTAGGGCAAATTAATTTTCCTCAAAATAAGTTAACATTTCATAAATCTTAAAGAAGTAAACCACTTTCAAATGAGGGCCTAATGCTTGTATACAAGACAACCAGCTAAAATGCAGAAACTCTGCCTTGAATGCTCGAGTCAAGTTTGGGTTTAGGATTCGTCTCATCTTTTTGACTGAAACACTTGCGTCACTTAAGAATACTTGTGTGAATATGTGTCTGCATGTGTCTCCCTGTCAAAGAGAGTGACCTTAATCTGGAGCACAACGCTGACAAGACACAAACAGAGTGACAGAAATGACCTAATCCATCAAAACATGCAGATGTGCACACTCCCCCAACACACACAGATCTACACATCTAGCAGTGCTGCCTCACTCACCTCTGGAGCTATGTAGTCCGGAGTGCCGCAGAAGGTTCGCGTGGTGACGCCGTCTGCCATGTTCTCTTTGCACATGCCAAAGTCCGCTATCTTGATGTGTCCCTCTGAGTCCAGCATGACGTTGTCCAATTTCAGATCCCTAAGTTTTGATAGGATCATCAGTGGATCAGATAATGTGGTTATAGAGTGCATTCTTTAGTGAGTACATCATATTTAAATGAACAAAAAAAGAAAAATGTTCCTATATAATTTGAAAAAAGGAAGAAAAGATTAGTTGGCTTATTTTGAATTTAAAAAACATATATTTTTTATAGTTTGAAGAATTTGGCTTAATATTCACCAATAAAATTAGATAATCATTTTTAATGGCAATATTTAATTAAAAAAAAGATTAAAAGTAATCAATGAATATACTGATAGGACTTAAGGGTCAGTGTTAACCTGCTGTCACAATTTTTCTAATCTTTCTAAACACTTCACATTTAAACAACGCTTTACCTGATTCTGAAGTGCATTACGTAAATCATCAAGTTCTGTCAAAATCAATGTATGAAGTATTAACATGCATTCAATTCCAGCCTGCTAAAGAATCATTAGCTGGCAAGCAGCATTAAGATGAGAGCATCTTCATCTGTGCAGACGGAGGGTCTGCAAGGCATAGCATGACAGGACTACTTCTTTCTGTATCTCTGCTTCTGTCCCCTTGAACCCCAGTCGGCCTCGGCAGATGGCCGCTCACACTGAGCCTGGTTCTGCTGGAGGTTTCTTCCTGTTAAAAGGGAGTTTTCCTCTCCACTGTCACTACAAGCATGCTTGTTGTGAGGTATTGCTGCCTAGTCAATGAATCGATGCAATCAGATGGTTTTCCTTAGATAGAAAACTTTTAACCAATCTGACTTGAAATGACAGATGTTGTGAATTGGTGCTACATACTGTAGATAAACTGAATTGAATTGAATTTATTTTTGCGTTATTTGTTATTATATGACATCTTAGTGGTACTTTGGTAAGTTGCACAGATGGAGTAAAAGCATTCCTTTTAAAAATGCAATCTAAGAGCAGAGAACAAAAAAGATTTCTTCCAAAATGTAACAGCTTAAAATGAAAATGCACTTGCAATACATATTAGACACAGAGGGCTGGTTATGTGGCACCATTTACTGAAAATCTAGGAGCTTTACAAGCTTTTTACAGCAAACACAAGACAAATATACAATGATGTGATGGTTAGGGGTTATTCTTTTTTATTGATGCTACTCTACATAACTTTGTTCATGTACAGCTTTCTTCTTTTGTTGCTTCTTTTTTTGAGTTACACTAGAGACTAGGTTCAATAGTTGTCTGATCGCATTGATTGGCCTTAAATCCTCCTGGCCTCTTATTGGTGATTAAAAAAAAAATGTTTTCATTTTGTCTTCAGAAAGTGTTTTAAACATAACCAGGATAGTTTTGTTCCCATTGGTTTCACTGTTAAGGCCAAAGAGGTTCATTAATTATTGTTAAAAACTGTTTAACAATGGATCTAAGTGAAATCACACACCTGTAAATGATTCCTTTAAGGTGCAAGAAGAAGAGACCAACGGCAATTTCTGCTGCATAGAATCTGAAAGAAGAAATACACATTTATAACTTTTCAACAGCATTCATCAGCAGAAAATAATGTTTTAAAGATTCTATAATCTTATGAACAGCTCCTGAAAAACAGATATGTCTTACACTGCTTGAGGTTCCTTGAACTTGCCCACTTGTTGGATGTGGTACATAAGATCTCCACCATTCACATACTCCATGACAAAATACAGGCGGTCCTTTGGTAAAATAATAATTAGATTTAGGGACAGGATAAAAAAAAAATTTGAAATTAAAAAATAAAAATGTCTGAAGTTCTTCATGGAAAGATGCAGATAAGATTTAAAGCTGTGAGATGTTTCCTAACGCTACTTTTTATGACAAGGTGACCTAAATAGCACACAACAAAGTGCTTTGTGAAAAAAGGAAAACACCCAGCATAGCCTTCTGTCAGGAAACATTCTCTTTATTTTAAACCGCTGTTGTCTTACTGCTGGTGACAAGTTCAGCCTGACCCCAGCGTGCCACGCTTTTGATGGTTCCTAAATAAAACAAAACGAAAGGAGCTGTTCCACACAACAACACACACGTGCTGACAACAAAGCTGGATCTTTCGATCTGTTGTGGCATCACTGGTGATTAAGCCCTTCAAGCTTTTAATATTATTGGCTTTAGACATATTTACACCTCATCTTCATTTTTAAACCTTAAAAATTGGATTTCTCTCACACTAATGGGTTACAAAAAGAGAGGATTGAAGCTGCAGATGAGAAGTTTATTCATTGGAAATGTGCAACCTTCACCTAAAGAGATACATCACGGTTATGATTATTCTCAATTAAAAAGACTTAACCCTAAACTACTATTTAAAAAGCAAGATCTTTGTATTTTGCTTGAATTATTTCAATCATAGATTGCCTTTTTTCATAATGTTGGTAAAAGGCAAGCATTGGGTTAGGGTTAGGCTACACATGTGTCTTACAGGGCATTAATATTGTATTACCAGATGGTGAATTGATCTGTATATATGAATAAAACATAAGAATATAGAAACATAAATAGACTGCATCCTCCAGCTAAAGAACTACAACTTTTTCTCAAAGGGGATCATTTCAAGGCATCACTCTACACTCAAAGCTATGCCATGATTCGTTTCCCAACATTCCATTCATTTAATAATTTTAAGACTAATATATTTTATTTTTCAATACAACAGAATGTGTAGCAAAACAAGACATAAGCTTGCTTCCTTAACATTATCTTTGTCTACAATGAAGATAATTTGGGAGTTTTAATGTAAGAGGCTAAGCATTGGAAAACATTGGTAGAAGCAATAAGATTTACATCTCAATGTACATCAAAACTTTTTTTGGGCTAGTTTGTCTTCGCATCTAGAAGTTCACATGATACAATTTTTTTACTTTTATACCCTTGAACCATCTAATTTCTTTCTTTGGGTGGCTCCTTAGTATTCTCAATAATATGGAGAGATATACAGTCATAACTGTGTAATATAAACCCAAAATACGTATTTTTGACCTGCTGACAGATTTTATTTTAAGGAGTCTTAATTTCCTTAGAGCTCTACAAACGGGGAAATGATCAGGAAACTATACTAAAAAAAATCCATATGCGCCTCATTGCCTGAAGTGCATATGACATTTTAGACATTGGGATTATCTTCTTGAATACTGGAGCTACATAGAACTCAAAGGTTTTAACTATGCACTTATTTTCCTTCCCAAATTGACATCTTTTAATGTCACATGTATATGCTTTACTCATTCGAGGTTTGTCAAAGAGTTCACCATTCAGCAAAGTTGTTGGTTAATCAGCAAAAATTGAATAATATTCCCAGTTTCTATGTCATAGAAACATTAATGAAGTCTGTATTTCTGTAATTGTTGACATTCAAACAAGGCTCAGATTCTTTAGCCCAATAAATTTGGGTTTGTTTGTTTCAGTGTCTGCTTCTTTTAATTAAAGCTGTCATATATACCCCCTATGACCTCTAAAACCAGCTATGACTAATTTTTTTTAGCTAAAAGGCTCTTCTGATTTACATGACCTGAACTAATCTGCAGTGAATTGTTCTGTTGCGCCTCTAAGGGTGTTTTCCAATACCTACCACAGTCTGGAAGCACGAGTGAAGCTGCGTGAGGAAGGGTGGCTTGTCTTGTTGAGCCAGGACTCTCTTCTCTATCATTGTACATTCGACATCATCATCCTGGATCACTACATCCTTCTTCAGGATCTTAATAGCATAAAGCTCTTGCGTGGCCTTCATCTCTGCTAGCATGACCTTCAAAGGGACAAAAAGGGGATAGTGTAGAGAAAGGATTGTTGAATAGCCACTTCTACTGACAAGTTGTTTGTCACCAGAAAGTCCAGTAAGTTTTCTTTATTTTGGAGTAAATATTTTTCACCTTGCCAAAGCTGCCTTTTCCCAGCACAGCCAGGAAGCTGAAATCACTGAGTTTGACCTGGTCCAGGCTGTTAGAAGGGAAGCTAATGGGTCGGCCATCGACTCCTTCTGAGATCATCTTCTTTCCAGGTCCTAACTTGGCTTTCTGCATTCAGGGCACAAAAGACAAAGTGTCTGACAGATAAACATAAAAGAAAAAGACCAACAAAAACTGCAGCGTAAAGAGTCAAAACTAAACCAAATTATAGTTTATTTTCATTTGCTGTCATGAAAACACGTGGTCTCATTAAATCTGTCCATTTATTCGCACCACAGTTCCAGGCAAAAGTTCATACACTTAACTCAAATGATGGGATTCATATCACCATCATTTGTTGGTCTTTTCAAGGTTCCGCTGAAGAATATTTTTTAAAGGGATATAAATTGTTCAACAGAACACTGGTCAGCTTGTGAGTTTGCTAGACATAGATGGAGCATTCGAGTCTTAGAAATCTGTACCAAGAGCGGGGGTGGCATCACGCTGATGTTTCACTGGTGGTGCTGGTATATCGCAGACAGTTAAATGTAACTATTCTTCAACTTCAAAGCAGCTAGGTGTTTTAAACATAAATGCAATCGATGTTTAACAGAAAAATCATCCAGAGTCTTTAAAATGGCTTTGAAATTGATAAACAGGCTGATATTGAACTTCTATTATGGCCTGACCTTAATCTTCTAGAATGTAAGTTAATTATTCTTAATAACTGCACAATAAACGAATAGTGCAATTAAACACGTATTCTGGGTACTCTTTCTGCCTTAGACAAAAATTCCATTGATAGGCTCTAACCAAATTTCATGAATGCCATTGACTTTAACTAAACTTTTAACCCAAACTGTGCCAAATTTTCATTCAACACAAAAGAATACAGGATGAGCGGCACATTTTGAAATTAAACGAATGAAATGACTAGCCGGTGCTGTTGTTTTATAAGGGCTTATGTCTCACATGATTAAATCATACACTAATAACATTAGATCTTCACAGACATAAATCAGGATTTAAGCTGATAATACAGCGCATATAAAATGTAGCATATATATATATATATATATATATATATATATATATATATATATATATATATATATATATATATAATTATTATTTTTTTTTTTTCCTATTTATCTGTTGCAGGATTTCAGGCATACCATAGGAGACGTTAATAACCAATATGGGGTCGAGTTAAATGGTCTCCCTGGGTTGGTGGTTAGGTTAAGGGCTAAAGGGTGAATTAAGTTTAGGTCCGAGTTAAGGTTAGGTCTGTATTGTTAATTAGCAGTGTTAGGGTGAGAGTCTGGGCCAGAAACATGAATTGATCATTTAAAAAAAGCCAGTGGAAAGTCTCTGTAAGAATATTGAGTCATTAGTGTGTGGACTCCCATTTTACCATCAGAGGACCGTTTCTACCAAAGCAATAACATTTTGCTGGTCCTCACTTTCTTTATAGCTAACAGTTTGATTTAGGCCTAAGGTGTGAATTAAGTTTAGGTCATGTTTAAGGTTTGGTATGTGCTGTTAATGGTTAGCTTTAGGGTTATCATCTGGGTTATGGTATAGAAAGGGTATAGAAATATAGCGGCTGGCTAGCTCAAATGGTAAGTTAGGCAAGACCCTTCACGCTAATGCCTGCTTTGGGGAGTGGTGGCCTAGTGGTTAAGGCATTTCGCTTTGAATCCTAAGGTTCTAGGTTCCACTCCCACAGACTGCCACTCTGGCTCCCTGAGCAAGGGGATGGGTTAAATGCAGAGAGTTCATTTCATTGCTCTGTGCTTGTGACAGTGTACTGAAAGGGTTAAAAATGATTGAACATAAATGGAAGTCAATGAGAACACACACATAGTCCGCACTACATACAGCACAATGAGAATGTGCGTGTGGGGGCTATAATTAAAGCATCAGACATGATTAAATCATGATAGAGGAAAGACTTCATGTAAGGTTTTAGAAGACATTTGCTTTTAATGAACATCTACTCTAGACAAGTTAACACATTTCTACATGACACAGAATGTGTTTTGTAGAGCATCTATCTGGGATACAATACTAACTACATACATTTAAATAGATAAACTATACAGAAAATCGAGTGGAGCTGTTACTAAATTTTTACTTTCTTTTTTCCCAAAATACTTTTTGACTTACGAATTTCAAACACTATAAAAAGATTTGGTCGGTATTAAACTTAAACCTCGCTAAAAAGTATAATACTTCTTGACTCAATTACAATAAAAGGATTTGGAAGCTGTCATTTAAAATCCTTCTCCTATTTAATGACTATAAGCCTAATTATGGACCAAAGCTAAGCCATCAAGGAAAAATAATACTTTCTATAGAAAAACGTTATTTAGTCAGTCTTTAGGCCACAATAACCAAATGGAACATTTTAGTGGCAATAGTTCATGCAATCAACCCAGACTAGACTATGCTAGCTAGTAGTCATGATAAACAGAGCGTGATCTTTTTGGATGGTAGATGGAACATAGGCTAGGTTCTAAAACAGATGAAGCACTGTCTCTGAATTTTTCATCAAAGCCTACAGTACAACATCTATTCAACTGAATGTTAGACAAACTATAGGATGAGTCTAAACCTTTTGATGTAGAACTTCAAAAGTGCCTAATAAATCAAATAAATTGAACTGGATGAAAAAGTGCAAAGAGATGAAGACATATCAAACATCTGACACTGAAATAACAGTGAATGTTTGTCACCACAATAAGAGAAAAGACGTTTGCCAGGTTTTAATATGAATGAAAGGATGCCACTCTCTGGTGTCCTCACCAAAATGCAGGCCTAGTGCATCTTTAACACCAACATGTAAAACACATAATCTGTTTGTTTCCTACATGCTGTTTCATGCTCAGGTGCCCAGCAGGGGGAAAAAATGCTCAATGAAGCTCTGCATAAAGCTACAGTGCACTGCTACTAAAATTAAGTCATTTGGCAATCTTATTGGACAAAGACATTATGCTCATGTTGGCTCTCATGACAAAAGCATCACTCAGCATAACCATGTACAGGTTACAGTCTCAGCCAATCAGTGCACAGAAAAGTCATGCGATAGCCTATGACATAATACCACAAACTTATGATACATTAACTATCAGAACTTCCCCTCAATATTTAAATATTTCTTAGAAGTTAGACAGGCACCAATCTATGTTTCCAATCCTTTAAGTAAAATCCACCTGTTTCGAAATAAATATATGCTACTAAAGTAGACCATCTTTACATTTCTATTCTTAGAAAGAGAAAATTTAATTTGAAAAGAGGCAAAAAAACAGACATCCAACAGTGCAAGAAAACATTTAAACTTTTTTTTTAGCTTCCAACATTTAGCTTTGTAAAAAAGTTTTAGTTTTGTTAATAGCGACCACAACAGTCTGCCTAAAGCAGCAGGAAAGCACAAAGCCGAGCCATTGCACTTTATCACAGCACACCTGTGAGCTTTGGGTCAAAGAACAAAAGCCTTGCTAGGGCAAGTGCTCATCTGCCTTACTGTCCTCCAGTCAGACGCACCTGATCAAAGTCTTCCCCAACCGCTAGGTCCTGCAACCACAGGGAGAAGGGAGCCAAGGGACTGACTCACATTGTACACTAGTGAGCAAAGGCAAGCCAAATTATAAAGCAGATGATTAAGGGGCAAGAGCAGTGTATCCTTTAAATAAAAGCACAAAGCTTATCAATCAGCCTGATCCCTCCAAGAACCAAATTGGGCTTGTTATGTGGTGAGTGATTGTCTTAATCATCTGAGGGTATGTTATTTGCCTGATACTCTGTTCCACTGTAGTGCTGGATGTCTCAGTTTTAAAAAGATTGCTTTTATAATTTGCACAAAAAAGGAGAATCAGAAGAAAAATCTTAAAACACATTATAGACGTGCTGAAATATAAAAAATATCTTATTAAAGATGATGGTCATGATATGTAGCATCATATTTCAAAATGTTGTCTGGTAAATTGTGTGTATATCTTACTTTTGCAATAATTTGTTGTATATATACACTAAATCACTGTGAAGCCAAAAAAAACTTCAGAATGAGTGTCTGTTAACTTCACAACACAGACAACAATAGTAGCTTTATCTTTGTTGTGTTTTGTTTCTGTCTTTCTGGTTATTTACAAGAGTAATTAAATTAAAAAAAGGTAAATTTTACAAAATATTTAATTGTTTACATATATATAATTTATATTATTTTGTGAAGATGCTGCCTTATTTCTACCGACATGATCTCCAGTTATTTTTACCGACTCTTGATCCTTTTTATAAACAATTAAATACACTGATTACTTTCCTCTTGTGAAACAAAGCATTTGTTGGTGTCTAACAACCTATTTCCTTACATCAAACTATGACAAGATGGAAATGACTTGGCAAATGGTTGGAAATGGCCAACACCCACATAAATGTGTCCTAAATAAAGGCCAATAATGAATGCAGTACTAATACAAACAGGCAAAGTAAATTGAAAACGTTACCATATTTAAAGCCTGAAAAAGGATTGCTTTAAAAACAACATTTAAAGTAAGGAATAACAAACCCATACACACAAACACACACACAGAGTCACTTATTATGCTTTAAAACATTCAGTGCACTGATGCCATCTTGTGATCACAAGTGGTATTTCTCTCTATTCCTTTATTCTTTTATACTCTGCTACTGGGGTGAGGTAGAGTAGACTGTGGTGTGGTCATGTTTAAGTAACAGACGAAAATGATTTACATCTTAAATGTAAAATGTTTACATATTTCCTTTATAATGTTAATGTAATTACTGCTATAACTGGGTCTCTCTTACAGCTAAAGGCATGTTTTAGAGTCTCTATCCTCAGTTAACGATTAATAGATTCTTAAATCAGTTAACGATTATAATCGATTAATCATGATTAATCCAAACAATTATTTCAGCCCTACACTTCATCATACATAACTTATGGACTAGTTTGATTTGATCCCTGTGTATATGTAATTTCTCAGTTTGCAACAAGATCTGGTGTGAATTTAATGTCAAGATGAAAATTAGAAATATTATTCATTATATGAGTTGAGAAACATGTTAAAATGTTCTATACTATTTTTAAGCCCTGTGCAGGACTTGCGTAAAGCAACAAGAAAGTGATATAAACAGTCAAATACATTGATACAAGACAAGATGTAGGCAGGAGGACGTGAAGTAAACAACATAGAGAAAACATGCATAACCATAAGTTGTAAAATTAGAAAAAATCAGGACTTACAGGCAATCATTTCACCAACGACACAAAAATTCAACAGCAAAAGAAAAATACCAACAGTGACTGCATACTCAGTTAGGTATTCAATCATTTATTGTTTACTTAAAAAATGTCCAAACTTTGCATGTAAGAAAGATATTGGTGGAAAATTGGATCAATTCCCAGTAGCATGAAGCCACAGACAAATAACAATGTGGGGAAGGATGAAGCAACACGTCATCACAACAAGATGAGACAAAGAAAGAAAGGAGAGGAGATGTGAGCAGATAAAGGGGGCAGGAAGGAGAGGGGAGAGGGCTACCTTCAGATTACAGTTATTTTGGCAGTCCTGAGAGGAGGGCAAGACGTGAAGAAAGGAAGAGAGAAACTCTTGCATTAAATATGAACATGTGACACAGGATGTACAGCATTCTGTAGGTCTCACCGTGGACACAGGGGAGCAGGAAGCTAAGAGGGGGAAAAAACGGAGAAACCACAGAGGGATTCATGAGGAGGAAAGAGAGGCAAGAGGACAGAGACGATCCCCACGACAAGAAGAGCTCAAGAAACCAACCATCAACTGGGTTCTATGTTGCCTTGCAAAAGTAATCATACCTCTTAACCTTTTGTTCCCTAAAAATGCAAACTGAAATTTAATTTACAGGGATTTCATGCTATAGATGGACACAAAGTATATTGAAAGGGTAAGCATACATGCTTTCCTTAACTTAAAAGTGCAGCATGGATATGTGGAAGAAGGTGCTTAGGTCAGATTAAACTAAAAATACTAAAAGTGTTTACCGGCATGAAAAATACTCTGTGGTAGAAAAAAGACAACCCACCACTCCTTCTGTGACACATGGTGGCAGCAGTATCATGCTGTGGGATTGCCTCATCTTCAACACGAAAAGAAACTTGGTAGAGCTACTATGGAATTGTTCAAATAAAAAAGGTCTAATTGAAGTTCTGACCAAAATCCACATAAGATTTGTTGTAAAACTTGAAAACTGATTTTTACTAATTTAAGCTGAGCAATAAAATGTAATAAAGAAATCTATACATTTTTTTAATGAGAGAAAGAAGAGGAGAGTATCTAGTCTCTATAGACAAAATATTTTATACAAAAGGCTTTGTCTACAGTGAATGTTGATTGAGGGGCTGGTGTTAAATACATTTATTAAAAAGGGATACAAATTTTTGAATTATTATCACAATTTCAGGTCGATTTAAAGGTAAGTGTAGGTATGATGTAACAAATACTTTGGCAAGGCATGTGCATACGTTTATCCATCCTTAACAGAGCGTGACGGCTTACGAAATGATTTTCATTATATTTGAGGAAACTAAATGGATAATCTACCAATCAAAGGGGCAACTCAGCAGTTAAACTTTAACAACTTTAGACAGAACATACAAAGTTGGTTTTGTTGTTTTTCAACAAATATTAAATGAAAAGATGAATTTCTTTACAATTAGCAACAATGAAAATTTCTTGTCATTGTATATTAGATGAAAAAGCTAACCTGCTGCAAAACTTAATAAATATCCTTTCAGGTAAACATATTTTTCTGAAAACGTATCTTTCCAAACAGAGTCTGAATCTGCTTTGGAAACTGCAATCAGGAAAAAAGCTGCTTAAAGGTGTGCCTGAAGAAAAGATTTACTAACTCTTTTCTTTTTTGACGACATTCACAGACCAATTAAATCAGAGTGAACCTTTTATGGAGAATGATGTTAGAAGGAAAATTGAAATAAAGCAACACAAATAAACCCATCAAAACAGCTTATAATGTGTTACTCCACTCTATGATTGCATTCCCCAAGGCTAAATTGTAAAACTGCAAATAATGTTTTTTTTTTTAAAAGCTAATGGAAAATCTAGAGAAGATTAGAGTGGAAACGTTTAAGATGATATGTTCAGAAAATACCAGCAATAATAGGAACTGCCTCAGTCAGTGGTACTTCAATGTGCCAGGCAGAAACACTACAAACAATGAACATTGATTAACTAGGGTTATTAATTATACTGTATAAAAGAATAGCAGTCTGACACATTTTTTTGTAATTAGTGCATAGTCTTTATAAAATATTTTGCATTCACCGTCTATGAAACCGGTATTCCTAATAACTTTGCTGAAGCAAGAAACTTCTAAAACAATGATGTGATTCCATGCTTCAAACTAGTAAACAAAAGTGGTTAAAACAAGAGCTTGTTAATGCAAAAAGCATAGATCAAGTATTACCAAAGTGGAAACAATTACCACAAAGTGTGCAGAGGAGACAATAAGCTGCATGTGAACAGCCAAAGCTGCAGCTGTCCCATAGCGATTAAGTTAACAGCTGTGGTGCTCGGGAGCATATGTGACAATCTGATAACTGTGGTGGAAATGCTTTGGAGCTCAGGGAAGATGGATTAACCAAGAGGGAGCTCGAGAGCTGAGTCTAATGTAAAAGAGGAATAGGTTTCATTTATTTGGATGAAGAGAATATTTTTCATAAACCTTTTAATAATTCACAATTAACATAAAAATAAAACATGGCAAATATAATATAAAGTTAATATGTTTTTTAGTTTTCAAATTGTTAAATCTGTTTTTGCTTTGGTTAAATGAGGCTAATTGGCAGCAGATGTTGCAGCCTTGCAAAATTGTTAATTCTCCTCAACTTGCCACTTTTGTAATGTAAAAAAATCTATTTGAGTTGAGCAGCAGAGTTGAATATGTGGGCATGAAAATGCTTAAATTCCTCTCTGCTGATGTCACACAGCTTTTAGTGGTTTGACAGTTTGAGGGAGTGGGTGAGAAATGAAAGAACAAGAGTTGTCCTCACTGAAGGCCATCTCAATGCAGAGATGACAAAACGAGATTCAACCAGCTGCTATTCCCTTTCTCCATCGACTGGAACTGAACTCTACCCTGAGATACGCAGGGCATTCAATAAGTAACGCCCCTGGCCCACTTCCAGATGTTTCATCAAACTGAAATTTTGCATGTGAAGTATTTTAAATCTCTATAGATTAAATAGAAAATTACAACTCCGAACTATTTGTGGTTTCTGATTTACTGATGTTAAAACTGAGTCAAGTCTGAGGTTTTGCATGTGAAAGGATGCACACAATTGATCAAATGACAGTAACTTATAGTGATAATATCCCATAATATAACCTTGTAAAACATTTTGCAAGGTCATATAATGGGCATCATAACCATAAGTTACTTTAATTTCATCAAAAGTCTCCCATGGTGTGAGTCCTTTCCAATAGAAAAACCGGATCACTGCTCGACACTCAATAGGCTCCATTTCAGACTTGACTCAGTTCAAACACTTATAAGTCAGAAACCACAAATAGTTCAGAGCTGTAATTTGCTACTTAATCTATAGAGATTTAAATAACTTCACATGCAAAATTTCAGCTAGATCAAACATCTGGAAGTGGGTCAAGGGCATTACTTATTGAACGCCCCTCGTATGTCAATGACAGCCACTATAAGGTGGGTTTAAAAGAAGACCAGCTCCGAAATTTCAGAGTGCAGAGAATGAAATGGCCTGCTTATAGTCATCAAATATTTGTGATAGGTTAGGCTGTCCTGTTAGTGCCCGACTGAGCAACATCTTCATATTCGTCTTTTTCCTTTTACTGATTCCATTATTTCCTTTCGGTTATATCAATACATATTTAAATTGTCTGGAATTGGTTGCTTAACCAACATTTTTTTTTCTTTACAAATAATCAAACAGCCCCTAAGTTCCCTACTTTCTGTGTTAACTGCATATAATTCATGAGCCCTATAAAACAAAAACATTTACAGCAGAAAATACAAAGAAATTGGCTTGAAAACTATAAATACACAATACAATATGGATAACAAGAAAGAAAGGAAGTCTTTGAGTTAGTGCAGGTCTCACCTCGAATTTCTGCCTCAGTTCTTCATTGCCATCGTCCTCCACTGAGATGGGAACGTTGTAGTACTCCCCCTCCTCCTGACACAATAACTTGAACCTAAAAAACATAAAAAATAAAATAAAAAACAACACAAAACATGTAAAGGAAAATGGCTGCAATCGTAGAAAACAGCAGTAAAGTGCAAACTTGCTACAAATACAGAAACGCTGCTACTGTAACACACAAAACGTGCAAAAGTGAAATGATTCTTAAAGCTATTCTTAACAGCAGACAGCACAGCAAGGTTCCTTGCAGAAATGCAAGAGATCACTTAGAGGCTTTTAGAACTAATTTGAAGTTTCTAATTGGTGGCAACATGATACAATAGTTTTATTCTTTGCTTTTGTCTCAGTTCAGATGTTAACGATATAAAATGGATATTTAAAAAAAAAAAAAGAAAAAAGGAATATTTGACAGTCTGCTGTTTGCTTGTGTTGGAAGGACCTGTGACAGAAAATATATGTGTTGAGCAAAATAGCCGGATGTTCAGTTAGAGGAGAGTAGAGGAAGCTGCTGCAAAGTGCATGTGTTTAGATTACAGAGGTGATCCAAAGGTTTAGAAGAGCAGCATGGGGTGCACAAAGATGCAATTTCAATGGGCAACTTTTGAAAGTCTAACATTTCACAGAAGGAACCAATATTCCTGAAGCTGTCGGCTCACGATACATCCAATTACTCAGCTGCTAAATCTAAATAAATCACTGAATCAGCCCCAGAAATTTACAAAACAATGACATTATCAACCTGGCTTCTCCAATTTATTTAGAAGAACTTAAATCTAATGGTGTATCTAAACATCTGAATTAAAAGAAAGTAGTCTGGCATTTTGAAAACATAAATAACTTTGATCATCCTTACTGGCTTAAAATAGGACATTTTTAGACCAGGTGAATTCATCATAAGCTACTATTCTGCAACTTGTCAAAGTATCCCAGATCCAGCACATCTGAATCAAATGTCTGAAATTCTTCATCAGGATATCAGTCAGCTCTGCAGAGGCCTGGTTACTTCTCCAACATACAGACAGGTTGGAAAATGGATTCATATAAATACTGATGGTCACTCTGAAGGACCAACATTGGGGACACCTACAGTAGTTTATACTAGTTCTACTACCAGAGGAAGATTAAAGGTTTTATATATATATGTATATATAAATATCTGGTCTGATATTACTTAAAAAAAATAGGTTAAAACTATAAAAATGGAAGGTCTATGTAGTAGTACAAATAAGGGAGTATTTGGTGTGAGGATCTAAACTCAGTTTAGGTTTTAAAATCAGACTCCACAATTTAAATAAGGGATAATAAGGAAAGTCAATATTACCAGCCACAGGCGGGAGACTTCATGAGCTCCGAAACGCCAAAGGAGAGCGCTCCCATGAAGTCATTCCTGGTGGTCCGATCCCAGTCCCACACTTCCACAGACAGCCTGCGATCTTTATCTGAAGGCTTCAGCTTGCTGAACAGCACATTACAATCATCAAAGAGAAAAAACATGGTACACAGAATGAAACAGTGCACTTTAAAACAGAAGTTTAGAACATCTGAAAATCAATTCATGTTTAAATCATGGAATGCTTTAAGTAAAGACAAACTAAAGATGATAAATTGCAATGTAGCCTGAGGAAGAACAGGATGAATAGAAGATGGTGGGTCGGTGGTACTCACAAAGAAAAGGTCTCATTCCATTTGGGGTTGAGGTTGGAGCGGATGGTTTTGGTCTTCTGCTTGGTCTCGTTTTTAGGATCTGGGATGAGCTTGAGTTTGACGTATGGATCCGAGAGGCCATTGGGGTCCATGGGTATGAGGTTTTTACCTTCACCCACTGAAAGAGATTAAAAAAAAAGGAAACATATCTCATTTGGATGCTAAGATACTGTGCTTCTCAAATATAGGGTTTGAATGCCTTCTATCTCCATATGATATTAGTTGTGTTTATGGTTGTTGCTGTAAATTTTATTTTATTTTATTTTATTTGGAAATTGTTTTTTCTTTTTTTTTTAAATAGGGGAGGATTCTTTCTTTTCTGGCGGCATTTCTGTCCATAACCAATAAAAAAAAAAAGGGGCCTTATTTCAGATGCTGACGATGGTTTCTGAGTTTCCGTCATCATTTAATTTCATCTCTGGGGTAAGATGAAGTAATGTGGTTAAACCCTGAAAACAGCTGAGTGCTCTAAGAGGACAATGATCCCAAAGAAACGTCTAGACTGCTGTTAGTTGAGAAAGAGGAAAGGAACATCTAAATCTCTGATAGCATAAACCCAGTTTAAGACAGAAAAAAACAGTAGTTGAAAAGAACTTTTCTAGTTCTGCCAATAAGAGAATTAAAAGGCTATGACCTTAATGCGTTAATTTCAATGAAGTAGATATATTAATTTTAACGGCTTAAAAAATTAACACAATTAATTGCTTTTTTTTTATACATACAAAAGACCCGAGTGCGAAGATGGGCCGCCAACCAATGGGCAGAAGTTTACCCTCAAAGACACACCCCATCCTCATTTACACAATGAGGCAGAAATGCATTCAGAAATGTTAAAACCACAGGCAGAAATAAATAGCGTTGAAATAATTAGGGTAAAAAAATACAAAGGAAGAATAAAACAGACAAAAACATGATCACATGTACATAAATAAATACTTAAAAATTAAGTTCTAAATAAATACAGTTGAAGAATATAACAGAAAATAAATAAATAAGGTAATTATTACAAAGGTAAAAAAATAAAGAAGCTAATTAAAAGAGATATATCCATTTATGTCTCACTGTATAATTTAATTTCTACCTACATTTATTTGTTTATTGTATTTTTTGGGGCGATTAATTGTATGCTTATTTATTTATTGAGCATTTATTTATTTAGTTCTGTATTTATTTTTAAATATCGCAGAGTTGTTCCTCTATATTCAGCAGGCGACAAAAAACAACAAACACAGCAATTATTTGTTGCATTTTAAATATCTCAGAAGATACATGCTTCCTCACAACCGTAATAAATCTCTTCAAATGTTCATAGTTATTACGTTTGGGGTAAACTACATGTTACGTTTGTAGTTTATTACATATGCATGCGTTACAGGCCCAAAATAAGAATAACATTCATAACAAGTGTATATAAATTCTAACCAGGAGACAGTAATCTAAGATTTTATCATTAGTAAGCATATGCACTCATTCCTCCTTTTTTATCCACAGGGACATCCTGCTAAATGTTTTGCTTTGGTAATGTAAGGGGGGGAAAAAAGAACAATTTTAATCAACAGGTGAACATCTGGCTAAGATTTCCTAAGATCCAGGATTAAAAGACAAGCTGCAGCATATAAGGATTATTTCTGCTTCTGAGACGTAAATGGACAGAATGCAGGAGGTATTATGAGAACGGTGAGTCAGACCTACAGGCTGCGTCACGCCTAAGTAGGCGAAAGCTCTCGTCTTGTCCTCCCATATGTAGTTATTAGGTAAACATGGGTACACCAGGGACATTAGCGCTCCATTAGCGCTGAGATCTGGAGAAATGCCAGACATATACTACACTGCATTACACACAGATATCTGCATAAAGTCAGGTAAATGCACACACACACATGCTATGTTTATCGGCACACTGCACTGAAGTTCCCCGCAGAGACAACATGAATGCTGTTTAGCTGAACCACGAGCCCTGTGAGACTCCGGGAAGATCTCTGTGAAGTCCTGTTGCTCTTATTACACTGGAGGCCTAAACAATGACAACTGTGTAAAGCAAGGGCCAATGGTTGGAAATGCAAGGAAGCTCTAAGAGCTTTAATCTATTGTTGGAATTGGGACAGACAAAAAGGTAACCAGGAATATCGGTGCTGAGTCAGTGTCATTAAAAAATGCAACTACTGTAGAGACAGATTAAATAATCACGTACAACGTTATAAAACTGTTTTATTCTTTGCTTTACTCTCAGTTTAGTTGTGTTAATAGAATAAAATGGATCTTTGAAAAATAAACAAAACCAAACCCTGAGTGTGGTGCCTTCTGCTGTTTGCTTTTTCGCTTATAAACCTATGATGGAGAATATGTGTTGAACTAATATTGCACGACTGGAAGTTAGAGGAAACCACTGCAGAGTGCACAAGTGCGTTTGAGTGATACAGGTGATGCAAGAGGTGTAGAAGGCTTGAGGTGTAGGAGGATATTGAGCGATTCTAAACTGGCAAACCTCTGATATCTGAGAAGTTTTACAGAAAGCTGTTGAGCGGATTGTTCAGTTCTAACAGACTGTAGCATAAAGACAAATGTTAGACTGCAGAACTCTGCATTTTATTCTATATAAGTCAAGTCAAAATATGATAACATATATTAAAGCAAATAAAATATAAAAATGCCTGAAACACTCGGCTTACTGTTTCAAAATAAATAATTATTTCATATTGATAATGACAACAATTATAACAATGGAAAAAAGAAACTGTTTTATTTCTTTAAAAAAAAATGTGTTTGATAGTAATATATTGGTCTTGAGTAAATTTATATGGAGAGATTTTCTGAATAGGAAATATGCATTGAATTNCTCAGGCTGAACAACAGGTGCTCTATACAGCTTAGTTTGTGCTTCAGGACATAAAGTTTGTGCAGCTGGAGAAGATGGCCCTCATTGGTAAAGCAATGAGATCAAAAATATTAGTACAAATTCTTAGGAACAAACTATTTTAAAAACACATACAAGAATGTCAAATTCATTAAATCACACACATAGCACAAAAAACCCAAATAAGCAACACAATTAATCTAAGACTACATAGTAATAACAGCCAAAGGATAAAATCTTGTTTTTAAGAGAGATTTAGAATGGGGTGGAATTCTGTTCTTAAAAACATCAAATGAAAGAGCTCTTCTTCTGTCCAAAGGAAGCTCATTCTAGAGCTATCAGGCAACGATGGCAAACATTTGATCAGCTATAGTTTTTTTTTTTTTTTTTTTTAAAGAAAACATCACCTGTTAATGAGAAATATCTGCTGAGATAAACGGATCATTTTATAAGGTTTGATCAAAATCAAACTCTCCAAATTTTCCTGCTAAATTTTAATCTTTAATACTTAAAGAGAATATAAAACTATCTCTTTTTTTTCTGAGTGTCTGAGCTAAATGAATGACATTATTTCTTAATATTTTGACTTCACTTTTTAAAAGCATCCTGGTAAAAATACTTTTTGGACCTAAACTAAAAGTCAAAAGGTTTAGAGCAGTGGCACAGCGTCCTCAGAAAACATTTATGATAGCTACATTACTGTTTTCTACTAAAATACTTGGGAGTTAAGTATTTGCCATGCTTTTTTAAGATCATCTCTCAACTTTAAAGATGTATACAAATAAAGCTACAACTTAAAAGGAAACATTGCAAAAAAATTCAGATTACATTATGTATGCAAAAAGCCCAGATCCCGTGTGACATTTAGAGAGGAAATGGAAATTGTTCGGTTGGCTGTTCTGGGGAACCGAGACAAACAAACTTTGTTGACATTTGTCTAAAATTAACAAAATATTTTGGGTTATTTAAACAGATAAGCCTATGGGGAAAAAGCTTGTCTACATGACATTAAAAAAAAACAACAACAACAATAAATTCACAAGAGAAACTGTGTTATGATTACCTTAGTTGTGTGATAATAAAACTAAATAATGTGAACAAAAATCAGTAACTTTAAAGCCTGAGTGAATGAATAAGCTTTAAATGTCTTGCTATCAGAATATTTGGGGTGGTTTACTCTAGTCTGGGGATTTTATGGTTATTGTGTTTCCAGTTATCACCAGTAGGGGGTACTGTAGACTACCTGATTCACTTCACATGACACTGAGCATTGACCATGTGGGATAAATCAAACAAAGTGGTTTTTGGTGTGAGCATGTAAGAAGTACTTGCCTCAATCTGTTGTGTTTTATAAAGAAAACAGATTGTTTGTGCCGTTTTACAGCCTGGAAATCCACTTCCCCACCATTTTGCCTGCTTTTTAACTACTTACTCCACAGACTAAAAAGCTTTTAGAACTGCTTAGTCTGCATAGGAAATCCAATCTGCTCTTAGCGGGATCTATACCTCACCTTGTGCATTTCAGTATTTACTGTAAGCCAAATTCATTTGCTTCCCTTTGTGAAAGAAAGATCTCTGCATTCCCACCAAAAAAACAAAACAAAAAAAACAATGTATAGTTCCATATCCAGAAAAGTGCCTAAAAATAAAGAGGCATATAAACTGCTGTACTTTGAAATAAAGCACAATAAAGACCAGAAGAAAGATAGGCAGATAATGGGAATACACTGAAGAGAAGAAAGGTGGGGGCGTATGTTAAAAGTATGTAAAGGCAGAATGCACAAGCTGAGGAGAGGGAGCAGAGGTAGGAAAACACAGAGGGAATACCAACGGCATGACTTCTGGGAGTCTGGCAGCACAAGTCCCACAGCAACATAGTTCAGCTGTTCCCCTGGAGACGCTGTGAAAAGGGAGGTCGCCTATGTGTGTTTTTATCTCTTCGCATGAAAGAACAAGGATGAAACATCTGCCATATGTCCCATTGTGTCCCCCTGCAATATACCTGAAATCTTTCACCACATCTTACAGTTAGACATCTGAAAATTAGTCTCTTAAGCTTTAATGAAGGTTGAGATCAACAAGTTGAAGATGATTCTAGAAAGGAAATTGTCCCTGAGGACAAATTCTTTAAAGGCTGTGTTTACTCTGTGGAAATGTTTATGAAGAGACTAAATATCTTGTTTTCAGACAAAACTGCCTCATAAATGTCAGCTTGAGTGGATATTAAAAAAACGGAGGACGCAGTAATTGAAAAACACCAGCTT